ACACTCAGCAAAATATTTTGCGTGGACCCGAACAGGGCCCTGATAAGCATAAAGAGCAAATCCGCAAATTACATAAAGAAGACAGACAGCCAGCCTCAGCCCCAAGACCAAAGTTCCAGTTTTTGTTTACATCTCATTCAAAAACCAGCTGATCAACAATGGAGCACGAGATTTGCGATTCCATTGTTGATCAGCTGTAGCTACTAGGGCTGCATTTTAAATACACAATAACCAAAAGCACAGATAAAGAAAATGACATTACAAAATCGAATAAGACAAACAATTCATTTAACAGATATGCCTTACGGAACGCAGAAGTCAAATATGTTTACGATTTAAATAAGGAGGTGAGAAGAGACAAACAGCTGATTGCAGTAAAACACAGCACAAAACATGAAACAGAAGGAAACACGAAATACAGTACAAGAAGAAGCAAGATATGATCACGAAAAGGAAGACATACACGAAAGAAATACTGAAAGCAAGAATGGAGAACATAGCAAATCGCAGATAACAATGAAAAGCCAAAACACGCTAAAACGCTGCCAAAGACTAAAACGTGGACGAAGAAAACCGATGAGGAAAACGAGAAAAGCAAGAGCAAGCAATGAGGACCTATAGAAGATGATACGAAGAAAGAAACCAAAAGATGACATGCCTACATATATATATAATATACAGTAAAACGCTCTGGCTCCCCTGTTTTCTATCGGTGGGCAGTGTCGGACGATCGGCAGGAAAGCCCAGCCTGCCCAACGGCGTTTACATTGCCCGCTTGAGTGCGTGATGATCGATGAGTGCCGGCCACTGGCCGCCAAACTGTCCGGCCGTGATCTCGCCACTTGACCTCCGTCCAATACGCACCGCGGCGGCGCCAGGGGAGGTCGGCACCCACTAATGCCTCCTCAGATGGTCAGACACCCACCAAAGCGCCCTCCAATGGTCGTGGGACGCTTCCGGCGCCGCCTGACCCGTCATCAGCCACTGAGCCCCCCGCGTGCAGCCGAGCGCATATTTGCACTGCCCTCCTCCCCTGTCCGTCTCTGCAGCCGCCGCGCCGCCCCACCAACCCGCTGCACACGGAACAGCCTTGAAGGGGAGAATATCGGAAGCCAGCTGCAAACGCGTGCCCGGCATTGGAGACCTTTGGTGGCCCCATTTGACCCTGGTGCGGTCAAGTTCAGTTGTAAAACAAACCAGCACCCTTACGATCGTGTGCCCGTGTTTCGGCGCCGGCGACGTTGAGGTCCCGTTGCTCGCCTGTCTCAAACGTGCTACTGTCGGTGCACGTGCGATTGTGCAACACATCAGTGGTATATGTTACCGATGAACGCCAGGCGGCCCTGCCGCGGGCCGGGGCGGTGCGCTCCGCAGACCGGCGGGCCGCCGCGATACTCTGCTAAATGAGTCGTTAATTGTGCCGATACGAGCGGGGCAGGCGGAGGGGAGGCTGCACACGAGGCGCGGCGCACACGCGCGGCTCAGGTGACTAAGGTCGCACCCGTGTCGCGCGCGCAGCCCCCACGCAGCGGGCGCCGTCTTTACGGCTGTCACCTTCGCATCACTGGGTGTGCGTGCAGCTGAGCTCGCAGGTCCCGTTGGCCGGCGCTGGGGGTGATCGCGGCCCGGAGAATGGGGTGAGCGGATTTCTGCACAGTCCCGCCCCGGAGGACCGGCAGCCGGCGGAGCCCGCGGCTGCCGGGGGTGGCCAATGGGTGCCAATGACCGCGGCGGAGTGTGGACTGTGCGTGCCGCCGCGGGCCGGTGCGTGAAGGCCACCCGGCCCGCTCTGAGAGACATGACCGCACAATGGGTGGCCAATGGGGAGAGAGTTTTAGGGTGAATACCTAAATGAGCCCGCGCCAGCTGCGCTCTGGGCAGTAAATCAGAGGGTTATTAAGTGCTGATGTGCGTAATATGCGTGATCGTCCTCCAATGTAGAATAGTGATGTCAATCGGTTACCGAAAATTTCGGTTACCGAAAAGATATGCTGACCGATTCGGTAATCGGTCGGTCAGGCCCCCCAAAAATCGGACACTTTCGGTCACCCTGCCAGTGAAACCATTTTCAAAAAGAGAAAGTATTCCATTTTTGCCTAGTTAAAATGAAATTTATTGGGATGTTAATGATAAAGAGTTGCAAAATTTCCCCCAAAAGCTACAAGAGATGCCACATTTTGGCAACTTCAGTACCCATCCTGATCCCACCCAGCAGGCAGCAGCCACCCATTGTGCAACCACAACTACAAGCAGGCTGATTTTGACTCAGTTGGCCCCACAAATACACACAATTTCGAAACTCAATTCCAGTCTAACTGTTAAGATATCACCTGTAATCAAAGAAGTATTGCCTACAAAAATCATTATTCAGTGATCAAAAATGCAAGGACAAAAAGAACGAATTACTGAAATTGAAATGTGTTTCTGAAGACTGGACAGTTAGCACTAAGCACTTAGCAGTGATCACATTTCAATTTACATTTCACAGGTGTTCTACTATTCCACATTCTCCTTAAATATTGCAGGTACCAACCAAATGTTTGAAATCTAGATGACCACAACATAAAAACATAGGAATCTTGATAAAAACTAGAGGGCCATGTCCGCTTTCTGGAATCTTCCACATCATCTCCAAACACAAGGGATTTTGAAACAGATGCGCCATGGATGAAGGATGCGCCATAACAGCGACTTTAAACCAGCTGATTAAGTTGCTGCAAAAAAGGTTCTGGATTGTTATATGCTGCCTCGTGAATGATTTTATTGATGTAAATGGTCCAACACGATTTTGATTTGAAGTCTAATGAAATCAACATTGTAAGTGTAATTCACTACAAGAAAATTAGTTTCACTTCAATAATTCAACCAAAAGGGTATATAAATAAATATTACGTCATCGTCTTACATCCTTTAGTTAGGGAAGAGAGGATCTTAAAGTCAATCCTTTGTTCTACTTGGGTTCTACTGGGTTCTACTATTATTTTGCGCCACTTTGCATTAATTTTGTCTGCATATTGTGTTTTCTTGTAAAGATAAGACAAAGTGCCAGTTTAATGAATTTTCATTTCATTTTTGGGACGAAATTCAGGCTCAGAGCTACCTAATACCTGCCTTTTCAGCTGGATTTTCAGTGTCAAATTCTTCGTAGAGTATCTCAGACCACATCTCAAGACTCAAGGCCAGTTTCCAAGCAGTGTTGATGTGTTTTGTGGTGTTTTGATTCTGCCTTTTCTCCTAGGGAATGTTGTCATGAACATACCTATTACCAACCATTGGACTTACTAATTGATCGTGCTTTTGCAACATAATGAGTATTCTTCCTTACATAGACCACAGCAGATTCTTGACAATTCTAATTAACCAAATCTGTGAAATGCTGAGGTCCATGTGTTCCTAGTCTACCCTTAGCAATGTAACTTCTACCACAAAATGTATTTTGCAGTGGCTAGGAATTGACTGAATTTGGACTGAAATGCCATTTCCCATTATTTTCCATCAGAATTTACCAATTATTTTAATTTTGGGGTAGAGTAATAGCAAATAGAATTTCGGTCAAATTTCGGTCAAATTTTGGCTTGGGATGTTATCGGTCGGTATTCGGTCGGAAATTTTTCCCAAATTTTGATTTCGGTCGGTATCGGTCAGACATTTTTTGGAAAATGACACCACTAATGTAGAATGAGGAGGCGGACTTACGACCACTTGAACGGCTATATCCCGCTAATGTATGTAACTCACACAGCTAGCATTCACCCACTCTCTTGTCTTCAATTCTTCCTCATAGAAATATGATGGTCACAGGGCTGGGAAATCTCTCATACTTTCATACCCCAGTAGGTAGCAGATATCGCTTTATTGTTCCATCAATTGTAGCAAGATCAACATTTCTCTCTTCCGTACATCAAAAAGAAAAATACAACAAAAACATCAAAATTCGCACATTTTTAAAATAGAGGTACCACCAGCCAGTGATCTCGTCGGCGAATAAGAACAAAACATCTGTAAGACTATAGTTCGTTTTTTTTAAGTTTGCCCCTCACTGTAAATGTCTTTTTGAACATAGCACGAGAATTGCTAGCTGAATTACTGAGAAAACTGGTTGGCGCACACTGATTTAACCAGATTTCACAGTCGATCAATTTCATCAAATTTATTTACTATTTCACAGACTCGTAAATCGTATCTGCCAATACCTACAGCCCCACAGGGATAGACGACTTCTCAGGAATTATGTCTGAACTAATAAATAAATTGCACGGCGCTTAACATAACGTTAAATCGTCGATGTTCAAAACTTATTTTTGAAAATATTATTCATATATACAATACAATGTGCGCTAACCAGTTTTCTCAGTAATTCAGCTAGCAATTCTCGTGCTGTGTTCAAAGAGACGTTTACAGTGAGGGGCAAACTTAAGAAAAACGGACTTTTTTTTATTATAACACAAGTTCAAAACGTCAGCTTTGTGCTCCATTTTATGACGAATCTGGCGGCTCTTTGTAGCAGTTTCCATTGTAGCATCACTAATTCTTCATACTCTGAGTCGTGTAACAAAAGGTATCTGCTACGCCTTTTTATGCGCTATCTTTCTTATGAATATTGCAAAAAGGAGTTTCATTATTTGTGAAATATTCAAATGACATATTTACGAAACAAAACAAATTGTTTTTAAAAGGGCATTGTTCAATGATCAATAAAAATACAAAAAGAATCAACTCATTCTGCCCATGGCATCTCTAAAAAGCCATCTTTTATGATACAGTGTCCTGCAACGTCTTTAATCCTTTTTGATGACGTCATACACAATTTTATTCAGATTTTAATGTATTTCATTGTTAAAATCATACTCATTTGAACCAAATTAGAGTTTAAAAGAACTAATAAACATTTTTTGTAAGTGTTATTAAGAAATCTTGTCAAAAATATGCAAATTACGTCATTGCTATTTGTGTATTTTGTTGATGCATTGTTTCTGGCGCATTAGAGACAATTCTAGTTGTCGTTTCGCGTGGATAGTTCAGTTGAGTTTGATGAGTGTTTCTGGGTGTTTCTGAATTATTTCAGCTATTTTAGCTTTTATTTTGTCTCTAGTTTAGGAAAGTGGGATATTCCAGGCCTATTTTCAAGTGTTGCAATGACAACTGTCCCTAAAGCGGCGTGCAGTACACAGTTAAAGAGCAAGGTAGCCGCCCAGCACGCAAAGCAAGATGTGTGAAGATATAGGGAGATATGATCGGATTTGCGCAGAAGGTGAGATCTGATTGAAATATTGATCAAGTAACGCCCAGAAAAGAATTTTTATTTACTTCTTTACATGTTCAATTATTGTATTAACTCTAAACCTTGATTGGTGGCAACTGGCAACTTTTGTACAGCGGGTTCGGCATGCACAATGATTGTAAATTGTTGACCAGACTGAGCAGCCAAATCAACCTGATTTCTTTCAAATACTTTCTGCCTGAGTAGGCTGATACCATCTGAATCCTGAAGTTGCTGGAATGCTGAAAGGAAAATTCTAGGGCTCACTGGAGCTCTCTCGTGCTCTCAGGTGGTGCTGGAACTTGCCCTGAGAAAGCCCTACAGCACCTTATTTTGATATTTGTATGCTTTTTCTAAACCTGAGTAGTGAGTACCTACAAAGAGTAAAAAATAAGAAAAAGAACATTCACAGGGGGCATAAGCAAGACACTGTATCTGTTTTTGCTTGTGCAACCAACTAAATAAAAACATTCAAAGCTCAATTTGAGAATAGATAGAAAATGAAAGTGGAAAGCTCTGTCCAGAATTTTGATTACTTGTAAAATCATTTTCTCTAGCAGAAATGATGTGAGGAACATCTGTGGCAAAGTAGCTAATAAAGAGTTTCTCGTAATATCTGGTATGTAGCAGATTCAGCATTTTTCCCAGCCCTGATGATGGAACTTCGACTTGACTAGGAAACTGGATTGACAAGCTATGAGCTTTCTCAACAGACTCACAAAAGACTGTCGCAAATCTCGTAGTTGCCACTCGGAGAATGAAGGAAGAAGACAGAGCAGGTTGGGTGCGCCACCAATGCGCCTACAACAGCGGAGTAGTATGATGCCACGCTACAGTAGTCGGAAAGAGACTGGATGCGCCATTGGAACGGGCTTTGTGAGGTCAGCCTCGTCGACTACTGTCTGGATGAACAGGACAAAACCAGCTCGTCTGACGGCGGCCGCCTCAGCCGCCCATCCGGCTACGTGCTTCCACGCCGCGCCGCAAAACAACACCCGACCCAGGTATGCACGATACAAAGCCCGGCTATGAGCGATGCGCCGGCCGCCGTCAGGCTCGATGACGGCATGACGCCATCCCGTGCGCCTCGCCCGCTCCTCCGAGACTCCGAGAGAGCCGTTCCGAGAGAGGCGCGGGCCGCAACGGAGTAACGAATGGCGCCGCGGGCCCGCCGAACGGTGACCCGGGCCACTCCAATATACCGGGAACTCCCTCACACTACTGGGACCTGCGGCCGAACAGACGCGCCGCCGCGCCGCCCCAGCAGCCCCTGCCGCTCCACAGCACCGCGTGCCGGCACTCCATCGCGTCACAACGCTTCCATTCGACCTATTAAAGGCTTCGGCGCTAAGTGCTCGTGACGTCACCGGTAGCTCGAAGCGGTGCGCACTGTCCAAGACGGCGTCTCTCTCTGGAAACAATGGCGATCGGCCGCGGAGGAGCCGCCCGCCGCTATTGTTATGGCCGGTATTTACGCTCGTAAACACGTGACGCGTCTTCAAGGCCGGTTCTGGACATGGGCGTTCCGTGTACTACTGCCGATAGAGTGGCGCACTCGGAGAACTGGCCGGCGTCGGCGAGATCCGAGGAGGCACAGCTCTCCGCGGGAGGTGGCGAGATCCGAGGAGGCACAGCTCTCCGCGGGAGGTGGCGAGATCCGAGGAGGCACAGCTCTCCGCGGGAGGTGGCGTAATCCGTGCTTTATGTTATTTTTCATTGAACTGCAGCCTGGGCTATCGTTACACACTTACATAACTCGTAACATTACCATTGTATCAACACGGGGAGGGTGATGCCGAATTCATCAGCATACAACACGAGCTTCTCTCATCAATTCATGAAAATTGACCCTTTTAAGCGGTAAGGAAAGAATTTGCAGCAGCAGAGTACAAAGGAGATCATGAAATGACAGACACGAAATTGTAATGAAGTCGAAGATGAAGTAACTTGCAGAGGGTGCGCTGAAATAGGCGGACACTAAACATGTTTCACGAATGGAATCTCGATAGGAACTAAAAAAAACTTCGGTTCTTCGGCATTTTAGTTAAAACTTAGTACAGAGAGAAAAAACTAGTTCCGTGCTATGAAACACATATACCCATAGTTAGGTTGCCGGAAGGTATAGCTCGATATGTATATGGGCACTGGGCAGCATTAACATTTTCTTACAAGTAAATAAATGCCTCTATCAAACTTCTACAGATATGTAAAGACACATCAATACATGTAACTAGAAACCAAGTCTGTCATTAACGTGCATTAAAATGCACAAAAAAAAAACTTTCCAAACATCACATCCTGCCCATAGACATAGGCGGCGGAACGGGGGGGGGGGGGCACCGTGCCCCCCTTTGATTTTGGGATTTTAACATTAGCCCTATGGGCGTTGCATGGAAAGAATGGGACCAAAAGTCGGCAGTGCCATCCCCCCCCCCCCTTAACTGAAGGTGTCCCGCCGCCACTGCATAGAACTCCAATTCATGGACAGCCGAACAATCCGAACGTGTGCACCAGCACTTGAGACACAGCGGTGTGGCAGCAGGTCTGTTACCGGCACCCGGCGTCTCTCCCCAACAGCTCTGTTTGTTACAGGATCTGATATAACGTTTACTACACACTTTTATGAGCGCGTAAGGAAAAGAACCTCACATGACAACGGTACAACATCACCAAACATGGGTTTTGCACAGAAGATACCTACACATTTTTCAGTATCAGTATCTCGTTTACGGTTCCACCTACTGACCGGGAAAATTACTGAGTAATTCTCATTGCCCTTATTCCTGCTGGAGGTCTCTAACGGTAGACACAATGATTGCAATATCCTGCATAATCACTATCAGCCAAACGGAAACTTCTGTTTTACCTGAAAATGTTTTCCTACTCGACATGACAGAAGAGGTGAAGATACATTGCATGTTACTGCACCCATTGAGTTGTTGGACACACCATGGCGTCTGAATCTCAATAGGCACAGCGATCCAATAACCCAACCATAATCCACGTCACAGCACGAATAAGTTTTTCTTAAACGGCTCCGAAGTCTCAGACGAACAGCAAGACCACATTGCTGAAATATAACAGAGCAGCGGATCCGTACTACTCGTCCGAACCCCACGCGCTGCGTGCGGCCACCTCGGACAGCTCGCTGTCATGATCAGTCCCCTGCCAGCCGGGAGCCGCACGTGTCTGTCGTGTCTCGCACGTGTCTGGAGAGGACCGCGGCGGTCTGCACCGTCTGCAGTCTGCAGCGGGCCCGCCGGAAGCTGGTCTGGTCGGCCGGCGCGGTGCAGGAGCGCGCCGGGCCGAGCCGACTGCAGCCGTATACCGTCCCGTCCCGTTCCGTCCATTGTGGTGGTCGCCGTGGGCGCTGGCCGGTCGGAGGCAGGTGAGGTGGCGTTTCCGGCCCGGTTTCCGGAGCACTGTGCCTGAGAGGGCCGCCGCCGACCAGCCCGATCGGTCTAAGTGCGGCGGAGAGAGGAAGCTGCGGTCACAGGGCGCACGCGCGCGGCCGCACAATGACCTCGGGGCAGGCGACCCTCCGACCCCAGCTGGGGTCAGGTGACTGCTTTGGTATCGGAGCTAGCTGGGTAGAAATCCGCCGCGAAGTTCAAGGATTTCTTATTTTGGCAGTGGCTTTCAAATGTTACACTTGTCCACAACACTGTCAGTCTACCCCCCCCCCCCCCCAAATGCAAGTAATGCTCTGATCTGACTGCTCATACAATTGTTAGAATCTTATGACATGCCCATGAATAGGCTTGTGTCGTTAATGCGGTGCAATGCCGTGATGCGATTACTCGCACCAGTTCCTGTTCAGATTAGATTACATTCCTGGTGCAGTAAAATTGTGGCCAAAGTGCTGAACATACCCTCTCCGGGATTTAGCCAACAGCCTAGTGGATGAGAATAGGGACTTACAGTTTTCACAAGATTCGCTCCGCGGGCCTCCGCGTATTTTGCAAACGTTTTTTTATGTTTCCAAGTACCAAAATTCGTCGGCCCGGTCAGTGAAATCTATCGGAACATTTTACTTCACATGACTCAGCGTCTTAGTTAATGACTTGACGCATAAATTTCTGAATAAGTACCGGCATATGTAGAAAGGTGCAGAGGCCTATGCTTAAAGTGATTTAAGGAGACCCCTCATTCTAAACAATAAATAGGACCTATGCTGTCCGAATTCCGAATTGAGCAGTGGCAAATTATCTCTGATGAGGTCCGGGCTCGCTCACTGGGCAGCGGCTGTTTATTTACCGAGGAGAGGAAAACTCGTGGGGAAAGGTCGGAGCTGCTTCTTCCCGGTCGGCTCGGCGGCGCCGGACCGGACCGGACCGCTCGGTCGCCGACGGAGCTCAGCGGCCCTGCAGGCAGAGCGCCGTGGGAACCGTCTGTGACCGAAAAACGCCGGCGCCAGACCGCGGTGCTCCCCCGTCTCAGAGCAGGCGCGTGGGGAGGAGAATAGCGCAGCACGACTTCATTTTACCGCTATAGGCTTACATTTCAAATTCAATCGTACAAAGAATGAAAGGAAGGCAAATAGCGACGATAACTTGCGCTTCTCATGCTGAGAAGTGATGCCCCAGATCATTGATAAATCGAAACCAAACCCTCGGCAACTCCATGCCTTAAGATCAAGTGCACCCACCTCGTACTGATTTAAAAAGAAGAAGATGTCTTAGAACTAATGACCCTGTCATCACTTAGATGTGACGCTCATTTTTACGTGACGCAACGATGGTTTGTTGACAGTATGAGCAGGTTTTCGCCGCCTGCCGACAGCTAATGGGCGTCAGTGAACCTGCCCCGGTCGGCCGGTGCAGTCTCTCGGTCCGGACATTCCCGGCTCGGAGAGAGCCGAGCGGAGAGCCGAGCGGTCCCAGAACTGCCCTCGGGGTGACCGCGGCGGCGGCAAACCGGAGCCCGCACCGGCCCCTCCTGCGACTGGGAGGGGCGCAGCCGGCAGCTGTGCCAACCGGGCATGGCTGCGGTCGGTGATTCGGAAATCGCCGAACGGTGCCACTTATCACCGCCACCGGACCACTGACCCGAGAACACTTTGTACATACTCCGTACAGAGGTGAGCCGCCAGCGGTGTCCATCGGTCTGAAATTAGCAAGACATCTTCTGGTCCCAGTCACAACGGGACGCACCCATAAAACTTCAAGAGCTCTGCGTAGTAAATGACGCCTATAGATTACGTCATAAGCTGACGCTGTTTGAAATTCACCAGCGGTCCATGGTGATTGGTGATCCAATATGTGGGCCGGCGGGTCTGCACTGGCCGGCGGCGGGCCTGCAGGTGCGTCTGCAGCTGCGCCGGGACACTCCCCGTCTGCACGCACTGCTCACACCCAGTGCCGGCGGCCGCTCCCAGCCGCCGCTGACGGCTCGTTAACGCAGCGGCGCCCGGTTCGTTGACCGCCGGTCTGCAGCGGACGTCTGGGAGCGGGGCACGCACATTGCGCGCCGGTGCCGCCGCGCTGTCTGGCACGGCCGGCGGGCCCCTCAGGCGCCGCCGGAATGGACGGCCATGCGCACCTGGCTGCGGCCAGGGTCGGCACTGCCGGAGCGGCGGGGCGCCGGGCGGAGCTCAGACGCGACCAGTGCAGCTAGAGGGCCACTGAACAGCGCGTGGTGGCGCAACCGAATATAGGCTACCGGTCGGTATGCTGAACTTCCAGACCAATGTCTCCTCCTAATTCCTATCATCCTTCCGGCTCTGAAATGGTTTTGTCAATTATCAGACCGAAAGGGCCTTACCCAACAAAACAAACAAGCTGAACTTCATTATATCTTGCACTTTATCATGCGTATAAGGTACCCATGATGGTACCCATGATTTGGTGGCCTTATTCACAACGTTATCCACACTCCACAGTTGCAAAGTAAAAAGTAAAAACGTATTTCATTGGAACAGGAAGACTCTTAGGACCTGGGTGCATGGGACGGCTGTTCAGCATTCAAGCTACATTGACTCTTATTTTGGAGAGACACGTCTGTTTCCGTGACGAAATAATATTTTTTATTTATCCTTGATTTCTATCCGGATATTGAGGGTCCAATTCTGCCGACCAACCCCTACGTCACATACAGCGGTTGCTAAAGTCACGCATTCACTGATAACTGATAGCCAGCGCACCGATAGTTTCATGGCAGTGACGCAGGAAGGCGTGCTATCTACAGTTGAGTGGAGCGCCGCCCCGGACCGGCGCACGACAGTTATATCGCCCCTCTCTGCATCGTCTCATCAGCGCTCCATATCGCCTCTGCATCGTCTCATCAGCGCTATGAACTGCGACTTGTGAGACTGACGTGAGACCGGTGTTAGACACCCGGCTCATGGACTGAACATATAAAAAACAGCACCAAGATCAAGGGCATCACACTTATCAGCGGCATTGTCATGGCCAGTCGTCTAACAGGACTGCACCTCTTCTCTTTCTTGGCAGGGGTTACTGCACCTTGGTTACCGGAGCATGGCTGATTACTCATCATGCAGCAGGTTGTTCAGCGTTATCAATGCAGGGGAGGGGCTGCTACATTGCATACCATGCTCCAGTTTCTGGGGGTCTGCTCCTCTGCAGCTCATTGTACATGCACCGTTCAGTCAGCGGGTAGCAGGAATGTTTCCCGTGCCCGCCGGGGGCGCGGGCCAGCTCTCCGCTCGCCGTTTTCCTCTCAGCGCAGTGGCGAGGGACGTCTGCCCGCGGCTTCTAACCCTTGTCGTTAGGCTTTGTCAGCTCGGCAGCCGCACGGCAACAGGTATGTCAGACAGAGGAACCATTCCCGCAATGTGTGCAAACTTCTGGTACACGAGCTTTCCTCCTGGGTTTCCGTTGCACGATACCTTCGGCGACCTCACTGACAGTTACGTGATGCATGATTCCGCTAGGTTTGGGCATGTATGAATTCCAGGGGCTGGGGAGAAATGCGGTCAGCCATCACGGCTCTTTAATATAAATTAAAAGCTTTATTCCGAAGGCGATTAGCTGAATCTTCCAGTTGCCCGGCTATAAAAGGTGAGAGTTCGCCCCAAGTTATCGCCTGAGCCAACCAAACTGGATCTCAGCATGCGATCCAGCAAAGTACCTAACTCATGAAACAGCGATAGTTTAGATGATTTGATGCACTTTTATGAAAAGGCGATGAATAATTGTGATGAAAAGTTGCTTGAGTTTACCTCTTATTGATAGTAACATCTTAACCCGCGCCCCGCTGGGCTATTCAGCCATACGCGCCCTGCTGGGGGGGGGGGGGCAGATTCTGCCCCCCCCCTGTCTAACTTCCGAACCGATGGTCGTAGAAAGACGGGGAAAACGGCAATCGAAAGCTCTCAACAAGGCGGATCTTAAGAGCCCAAATTTTTTTGCTGAAGTAGGTCAGAGGTCAGGTCAAGGTCAGGTCAAGGGTACAAAATGCCAGTTTCTACAGTATCGGCCTTGCACCGTAGTTGCCGAAGAATGGACTGAGACTGATTGCCCTAAACGTGTTCTTAGACTACCAAGACAATATTCGTTGCATACAATGTCATTCAAAGGTCAAGGTCAAGGTCAGGTCAGGTCAGGTCAGGTCACCAAAAACAAAATATAGAAAAGGGCATGTGCGACACATGTTTTATGGGTCATTTTACTCATAGAATTCAATAGGCACACTCAATAAGTGATATGGACCACCTCTGGATGAATTTCAGGTCGAGGTCAGGTCAAGGTCAGGTCAAGTGAGGTCAAATTTTGAAGTTGGTTGTTAAGGCCTAAAAAGGTGTCTATCTGATGCAGTTTTTCATGGCGAATCGTATGGTGCTATTTTTGTTTCCGTACGAGGTCTAGAACTTCCAAAAAAAAACATTTTTCAAAATTTTTGTGTGTCGTGACGTCATAAAATTTTGAATAACTCCCACATTTTTGAACCGATTCTTCTAAAAATTGGTATGTAGGTGCACATAGACCACTACTCTGACATATATTCCGTTTTTTTATACACTGAAAATTTTGGATTTTATTATCATTTTACCAAAAAAGTCAGTTGTTTAAGAAAAAAATTGGGCCAAAATCCAAAATTTTCAAATAACCGAGATAGCCATTTGATAGACAAAGTAGAATCACGTATAACCTTTTTTGTTACGTCTTGATTCCTTTAAAAATGAAGATGTTAGCGGCGTTTGAAATTTTGCCGTTTTTGAGGCGAAAATGGCGAACATGACGTCACTAAAACGTCAATTTCTCAAAAAAATTCCAACGGATTTCGCTCAAATTTTCAGGGAACGTGTCAAATTGATGTATGATAAGGTACTGAAAGTTGGACGTTGCTGGCGTATCGCGTTTAGAAGTTATTGGCGAAAAACGGGAGGGGGGGGCAGATTCTGCCCCCCACCCCTGCGGGGCGCGGGTTAAGTTACATTTATCTTGCCCCGCACGGCGCAGCTATGAACACCTACATTATACCTAATTGTCAGTCGGCAGGCAAGACATCATGCACTAACACTTAAGTCTAAAGAAAGACGCTTATAAGCCTTAGCCACATTATAAGCCACATTATTGGCTTATATAGCCACTTATAAGCCACATTAGCCGTTAATCGAACAAAGAATCTACAGAATATCGCGCGCTCGATAACAAAAAAACACTGCTAAATCGCACTAATTATGCCGCATCTGAAGGCATGTAGGTACTCTCGGAGAGCTGTCACCTGACTCACTAATGAGGGATGCGAATGTAATGACTTATCAGAGCTGTTGCGTAATGTCAGACAATAAAAAACCCACGCCTAATTTTCTCCGTCACGACAGCATGCCCATTGCCTATAAGCCTCAACAAACAACACAAGATGTAAACCACACCCATCTCAGCCGACTACCCCACAAACGTTGTCCGCTCATCCCCACCCAACACTCCCGACACGTGAGCGGAGATCATGGGTGTGACCTGCGCCCCCTGTTGCAATCTGCAGGGTCACTCACAATCAGAGTCCCAGCCGCCAATCGTATTGTCACCGCTGCGTCACGGGTATCGGCGGCAGTGGCGCCCGACCCTGCTATCGGGCCGCCCGATAATGGCCGTCGTTCGCCGAGATAGCCGCCCCGGTCGGGCCGCCCCTCCGGCGCGCTGGGACAGAGGAGCTGCCCGCGGAGCGCGCCGGAGCCGTGAGCGAGCCGCGACGGAGCCGTGAGCGAGCCGTGAGCGCGGGCTCTGCCGAGGGAGCGGCATGGCCAGCTCCAGCATGGAGCAGGGCGGCGGACCTCCGCCCGTCATGACACCGGCTTGGTCCGATGTGGATCTGGACGGTGAGTCAGCCGACGGTGAGTTTGAGGACTCAGTGAGTGAGTGAGTGAGTGAGTGAGTGAGTGAGAGTGTGAGTGAGTCAGCCGACGGTGAGTTCGAGGAGTGAGTGAGTGAGTGAGTGAGTGAGTCTGTGCGTGAGTTAGAAGAGTCAGGTTGCGTGAGTGAGTGAGTGACTGAATTAATGAGTCTGTGCGTGAGTTTGATGAGTCAGTTTGCGTGAGTTAGTGAGTGTGTGAGTGAGTGAGTGAGTGAGTGAGTGAGTGAGTGAGTGAGTGAGTGAGTGCGTGCGTGCGTGCGTGAGTGCATGAGTTGATACGTGGGCGAGTCATTGGATGAGTGAGGGGGAACTCGGTTAGCATATATGCTAAGTCAGTAAGGACGATGAGTTAGTGTATGAGTGAGTGGATGAGTGCATCATCTTTGATGGATGGAGACTAGGAGTACTTACGGTGAGTAGTGAAGTGCGTGATGAAGCTTTTGAGTGAACGAGCGAGCCGATGGAGTAGTGGAAAGGCGGCTCCGGCTGGGCGTTTGGTGGTTGGATGGACTGTGGACAAGTGCAGTCGTGAACGAGTACCTACTGTAGGAGAAGAGTGAGTGTGTGATTGGGTAAGTGAGTCTCTGACCCCTCCGCCCCTCCCTGACCGCTGTCCCTGTGTCTGCGGCAGTGACCACGCCGCCGGCGGCGCTGTACTCGCTGACCCGGTGGCAGGCCGACCTGCAGGGCGCGCTGCGGCCCGGCCGCTGGCTGCCCGGCCTGCGCACGCCGCACATGTTCGAGGAGACGTGGCGGGCCGGCTCCACGCCCAGCGTGTGCCTGCTGGCGCTGGTCCGCGCCGCCAAACAGCTCCGCGCCGGCGTCAAGTGCCAAGTGAAAACCGTGTGAGTCGGTGGACGGCGGCGGTACCGGGCAGGGGGTCTGAGTTTAGCAGAGCTTATCGTGAACATTGGTCGTTAAAACAGCTCCTTCCGCAGGAAACCATGACACAGCTGCTTCACACTCAACGTAACTGCACTTGTACCTACCCTGTATGCCAAATGTGTCCCGAGTCGGGTCGGTAACCCGCGCACCCCGCCGGTGTGCCCGCCCCTGCGGTCAGATGTCGGAGTGGTCGAGCCAGGCGCGGGCGACGCTGCACTTTTTCACGGCCTCGCTGAGCTGGCTGGACGTGGTGGACGTGGACTTTGTCTCCGTGGACGGCTCCACCATTATCACGCTGCGCTCCTTCTCCTCGGGCCTGCTGCCCGTCAGCCTGCCGCTGGCGCCTCTCCTCAACGCGGTGAGACGCCGGATGAAATTCCTGATTTTTCGGTTTGGGGAACATAAATTTACACAGCCCGCACCAAAGAAAAAGCACAAGCTAATGCACCTTGCCCATGCATAACCCAATTCTGTCTTTTCAGTGCCTGTTCTTCTTCCCGTTTTACGATTTCGACCAGAACCGGTGCTGGATCGGCGCGTTGAAGCAGGTGTTTGACCTGGAGATCACCCTGATGCGCCAGTACCGGCCCTGCTAGTGACCAGTGACCGGCGCTGGGGCCTGGGTGCGGCGGCCTGCGGACGGCCATGTGTGGCCGGTGATAGCACCCGTCCCCGTCCCTCTGGGTGGACGAGGACCCGGCGGTGGACCGGAGCCGGGCCTGTCTGCGGGTCAGTAATGCGGTCTCTTTGCGCCGGGTCCATAATCGGCGCTGGATGGGGCCGGACGACCGAGGGGGCGGCGGTGTTCCGAGGCACCATTATTCCGGCTGATGTGATGCAGGGGGTGTATGTAGATAAGGCGTGTTTGTGTGTTGGGATGCTGTGATGCCGGCACCGGAAATGCGTGTATATTAGAGACAGCTGCAAAATAGTGTATTCCTTGGTTAAGCTGAACTGTGTGAGGTGACTTTAGCAGTGCTGTGATTGTGGCGCAATTTATCATCGACAGAAACAGTGTCGTGATTTTTACCTGCCGTTACAAACCAGTTGTAACGGTTGGTACCTGCATGTGGTTTATCTACCTACATGTATTATCTATTGATCATTATTTCAATGAAAGTACCCATTTCCACCTGAATAACATGTGTTATCAGAAGTGCTATACAAAGTCCACATATCATGTATACCTATTACATATGCATCAATAATACACGCGTTATAAATAAAAGCTCAGCACCAGTTCAGAGTCTTTGGCTAAACTAAAATACTCAATAACGTTCGATACGAGTGACAAGCAGCACCTGGGAAAGGAATAACAAAGAGGAGAGCAAAAGTTTTCAACGGACTATCGATATAAAACATGTTTTCTATTAAAATAAGCACCTATATGCAAGAAAAATGCCTCGCTGGACCTTGGGTACAATAAGAATATCGCACATTGACGGACAATATATAATATCGGACATTGACACTGAATGGCGAACAAATCATTTTAACATTAGTAAAGAACACTATTTACAAAGCCAAGTGCAGCTGTAGGTAGATATATACGACTTACATAGGCATGCATGGTTTGAGAGGGAAGGAGAAGGGCATTAAACTGCCAAAATGTGAATCATATAATCTTATAAATCAAAATCAAATCGAATTAGCGTCTTGCGCAATACCCTGACACCTCTCACTGAAAGAACATCACCTTCGCCAACGTTTAGAATCACCGTCCCAGGTGAGAAACATATCACCCATTTTCAACTCAGGGAGCGTCAAGTGTAATCAAAACACCCGGCCAGTGTCTGCCGAGTTGGTTTGTCGACTTCCCGTCTACGCACGGGGAGCGGCGCCACGGGACACACCCTCGCGCCAGTGACCCGTTCTTCTGTCGAGCAGCGCACACGTGCCGCGCGCGGCGCCCGCTGATGACGTCGTCAATCGGGGCTACGGGGCGCGCCAGGTGACGTCACACCGCGCGGCGACCGCCATTGGGCGGCTCCTCTCGAACGCAAACGTACATATAGCGCAACATAGGGAAGTGTTGGCAAGTCGCACACCGACTCCACAGGGCCCAGGTCCTTCTCCGACTGGGAAAGAGTGTGCCGCAGATTTTCACCGAAATGGCGCACACTCTGTCCTCAACCCTGGCGCTGCTGAGCTGTTTTGCGGCCCTCCAGTCGTCCTCTGCGGACGAGCTGGCCACGGCCGCCTCACACACAGCTCCGCGGCACACGCTGCATCTCCACCTCTCCGTGGACGAGCTGCGCCACGTGTTCGCCGTCGAACGCCACGAGGACGTGCCAGAATACGACCTCTCCCACGTGAGCTCCAGACGAAAGCGCAGCCTCAACGGCCGGCACCGGCGCAGCGTTCACGTGCAAGCGTTCGGTGACCAGATCGACCTGGACCTGGAGATGAACCGCGAGATCGACAACCACATCCGGCTCTTCTACGCCGACGGCTCCGACAGCGACATCAACATCGAGCGCGTCGAGGGCGACACGGACATGTACGTGGGCGAGCCGTACCAGGACGTGAGTCGCGAGGCGGCGCTGCTGGTCAACCACGCCGACGACGACACGCTGCAGCTGAACGGCGTGGTGTCCGATCTGGTGATCGCGCCGGCACCGAGGCGCGTGCACCACCACTACCCGTCGTCCCATGACGACGACGCGCTGCTGGCTGATGACCAGGAGCCGCTGGACGGGTCCGAGAGCCACGACAGCACGGCCCGGCTGCGCCAGCGCCGCTCGACACCACCGGTCACACGAGGACTGCACGTCATCTACAAGCGCGCCGCCTCGCCGTCGTCGGCCACCGGCTCGGCTCCCATCGACCACGAAGACTCTTCGCTGCTGGTGGAGAAGGAGCCGGCAGCCAGTGAAGACTCTTTGACGGACGAGTCGCCCAGCCGTAACAAGCGCAGCACTCCGTCGCTCTACCCAGAGGTGCTACTGATAGTCGACTACCAGACATACGAGGCGCACAACTTTGATGCCAAGGCCGTGAAACGCTACATGATGACCTTCATGAACGCTGTTGATTTGCGCTACAAGTCTGCCGAGCAGCCATCCATCACCATCAAGGTGGCCGGCATCGTCATCAGCAAATCCAAGGAAGCCACCCCATATCTGGAGAAGCACATGGTAACAAGCACAGATCTGGACGCCGTCAACGCTCTCTCTTCCATCGGCAAGTACTTGTTCAACGAAAAGCGGTTCCCCACCTACGATGCTGCTATGGTTATAACGAAACGTGACATGTGCACGCGCAGAAACGGCAGAGGCACCTGCAACAAAGTGACGGCTGGCTACGCATACGTCGGCGGTGGTTGCAGCATCAGCAACTACCACAAAAAGATCAACTCGGTGGCTCTGGTAGAGGATTCGACTGGTTTCTCCGGCATCATCGTGGCCGCACACGAGATCGGACATCTGCTGGGAGCCGTGCACGATGGCTCACCGCCGGCAGCGTACCTGGGCGGGCCGGGAGCCCGCTCCTGTCCCTGGAAGGACGGCTACATCATGTCCGACATGCGGCGCGACCACAAGGGCCTCAAGTGGTCGGTGTGCAGTCTCAATCAGTTTGCCCACTTCGCCAACGACAAGCGTTCAAAGTGCATGCACAACCACGCCAAGAAACCGGCCAGCCTGCCGTCGGCCAAGAAGCTGCCCGGCAAGCTGATGACCGTGGACGCGCAGTGCAAGCGGGACCGCGGCTCGAGCGCCTGCTTCAAGGACCACCGCGTGTGCGCCGAGCTGTACTGCTTCGAGCCGTCCAGCGGCTACTGCGTGTCGTACCGGCCGGCGGCAGAGGGCTCCGCCTGCGGCCGCGGCCTGCACTGTATCAACGGCCAGTGCGTGGCCGACAGCTTCTACTACTAGCTGTCGCTGCCGCTGCTGCTGCTGCGGTTGTTACGTGCAGGCTGGCCCGCGGGCGGGTGCAGCCAACTCTCAGGTACCTGACACAATTAATTTGTTGTTTTCATCGTTACCTGGTGACTGGAACAATAAGGTCATACGGTGTATTTACAATGCTGCCAAGTATTACCAGATATTTTCTACCGAATAGTTTCAATAAGCACATGTTCATAAGCATGTGTGAAACATGTACTTATTAACAGGATCTCATAAATGTGCATAAATGTGTATGTTTAATTCAGTAGCAACTTGTGATAGACGCATGTGTGCAAGTTTCAGCTGGCATGTTTGTATGCATTGTTGATGTATGTTTGAATTGATATATAGTTGATTTTTTAAAATAAACATGTACACATATAGTATAACAAGTTCTTTGAACTTTGGTGTAGAGTAGCTAGCGCTCGGCCTACTTGACCTGACCTTAGGTCACCAATATTACATTTCTGAGATAAGCGCTTTATACGCTGCCCTGATCAACCGCTGGAAGCTTCAAATCAATCGGTCGGCCGGTGTAGCTACATAATAGCAAGTATGTATTGTAACTTTTCCTGAGGTAAGGTCACTTGACCTTGAATGACCTGACATGATGACCTGACCTTGAAAGACCTGGGTCTAAAATTTTCACTGCACGTGTCGGAAAGGTGTACGTTAAGGTGCACCAACAACCGTTTTTGAGATATTCGAGAAACACCGCAAATGGGTGCTCACTGCTCAGTGCTCAACCCCTCCCCCCTCCGCAGCAGGGCGCGGGACAATTTTTGGCCAGCACGTAGGTAACACTGGCAGATCCAAAAGGGAGCCAGTTTGGGCATTTGCACATCTGCAGCATCCAAAATTGGTCAAGTTCTGTTTTCTTTGCATGAAGAAGACTTGACAACTTTAGATAAAGTTTGTTCCATGTTCCTCAACATAGAGGCATAGAGAAGTCATAGAGTCATAGTCATAGAGTCATAGTCATAGTCACAGAGAAGAGAATCCGAGAAGTATTTTTAGTTGGAAAATGTGTTTAGGGAGTATGGCATGCCCCATGCCGCGTCCAACGCGTATTTGGAATTTCCGACCTTGACGAGCGTCTGTGGTAGAAAACCACCACTTTGGTAGGGGAAACTACTGCTGTCTGCTACAATTTGCACTGCATGTCAAGCTATTGTAGCGACATCTATGCATATACATTTCCGACCTCGACGAAAATCTCGCGGCGCTTCGCGCCGACCCGCGCCGCCCATTCATCCTAAAGACCAAAAGAGATTATGAGTTCAGAGTTGTGACAAATACCTAAAGCAACCACCACGTATGATGTACATATACATTAACAGTTAACTATCAGATTGACGGCATGTGTCAACAATTATACCCTGATAGAAGACCGGAGGCTATGGTTACCCGTGTAAAAATGAATACTTCAGACGCGTACCGCGTAGGAATTCAGCCCAGTATCGTTGAACTGATAGTGCATCGGCCTGAAAAAGTACGGTAACGATACCTTATTTTGGGTTTTTAGTCGGCCGATCCGCGTCCCCCCTGTCGAAAATATGTGGCGACGCCCCTGGCACGTAGGACAAAAGTACGAATCGCAAATGTTCGTACAGTATAAAGTATGCATGGACAAAACTACGTCAAGGACAAAAGTACGCATAGTGGCAAAAGTACGTACAGTATAAAGTACGAATGGATAAAAGTACGTCAAGGACAAAAGTACGTATCGAAGAAGTACGTATATAGGTGCATTATTAAGTACGCATGGACAAAAGTACGTCAAGGACAAAAGCACATATCGTAAAAGTGCGTACAGCATAAAGTACGTATGGACAAGAGTACGTCAAGGGGTACCTACGTCGAGTATAAAGTACGTATGGAATAAGTACGTCAAGGACAGAAGTAGGCGTATCGCAGAGGTAGGTACGTACAGTACAAAGTACGTATACCTATGTAGACAAAAGTACGTCAAAGAAGAAAATACGCATCGAAAAAGTACGTAAATTATAAAGTACGTATATCGCTAAGGTACGTACCCTTGCTGACTTGCATAGATGTCGCAATCGGTCGCAACTACAGCGAGACATGCAGTGCAAACGGTAGCAGACAGCAGTAATTTCCCCTACCAAAGTGGTGGTTTTCTACCACAGACGCTCGTCGAGGTCGGAAATTCCAAATACGCGCGTCCAACGCCACCTACCTGGTTCCAACTTCCACCAATGGCCGACGATATCTGAGGTCAGTCAGTTCAACTACTAAATGGCCGGGGCCCGGTTTTTTCGGCAAGTGCATAATTTCACTAAACGAAGGTTGTTGACAGTGAGCAGTGACATTTGTCATGTGCTTGTGCAG